ACTTTTTTACTAACAACTCTACCCTCAAACCCTAACGAAAAGGCCCGAAAATTTTTTAAAATTTCATAATAAAATAAGTCAAAATTTCAGCATCAGCCAATTTCAGCATCAGCCGCGACAAGAAATAATATAAAGATTTGGATGTTATCCTTTCATAGCACCGAAAGAATGTTGGAAGAATGTTGGCAAACAAACTGGCAGTTTGTGGCCGCTTCTGCTATTGTAATTGATTTTTACAACAAAGCCTATTATAAACTGAATTGACTGTCACACGATTCTGCTCCGCTTTGGACGTCCCCGCATTATACCGTAAAGTGCCATACGATAGATCCCCTATAGGGATGGAAATGTTTTAAAACGTGATTTTAGAACTGATGATTGTTTTATTTTTAATTGTTTAAAATGTTTTAAAATGTTTTTTAATCGATCTAAAGAATATAGCGCTTAATGCTGGACCCAAAATTAACCGGCAAAATGCAATAATTTTAACTTCAGTTAAATTTTAACATCAACTTCGATGTTTTAAACCTTTTTTTAAACCAATTAAAAACATATAAAAAATGTTTTAAACCGTTTTTTTACCATCTCTAATCCCCTATGAGTTGCACCTGGGGTATTCTGCGGATAAGAATTCTATTTATATCCGGATGCTATTCATATTATATACCGAATAATCGCATCGGATGTTCTATAGAAATAGGTGGGCAAACCCCGCAAACTCCGCTATCTATTAAAATGATTACTAATCATTAACGAAGCTTATTTCTTATATTGCCCACCTATTCTATAGAACATCCATAACATCTTTATGCTTTGAAGAATATCTAGCTGGTGTAAAACATTGAAGACTGGCAAAGTTGAACGAGAAATATAGGATACGTCGGTTGGCACTTTACGGTACGTAGCATTAGAGGCATAATCACGTGATATTGTTTATCATAATTCGTCGCTTCGCTCCGGCAATAAACATTTATTAGTCTAAAAAGCTAATTTAAGTTCATGAATATTTAATATATCAGGTATTTTATATTTTTATTAGCATTAATCTAAGTATATTTATTATTTAACTTAGTGCGCGTGTATAAAGAACACTTATTGCATAAGTATTTTTAAAATAAGCTATTCAAAATATATGTACTTTTATTTTATCGCGTCAATTTAGCACGCGAGCCTAATGCATTTTATTATTTATTATTGAAATCGCTTAATGTCAAAAAATTTCGGTTTTAATACTTTGTACCGAACACACAATCTATCCAATTTATTACGGATTGTAATATAATTGTAAGTCTGAAGTGGCTTTTTCCCTTGGAAGCACTCATATAATCAGAATTTCTTTAAAAAAAATACGGTATGCTAGAATAAATAAAATAAAGTTTACAGCCGTTTTATCGTATATCGCTATAAATTCTGAAACACCAAATTTATCCTGTCATCAACAAGTTTCCCAGAACTTATGAAATAGCTGTAAAAGCGGGCCGGGCCGAATGGTTAACATAAACAAATTGCAAAACCCTCGTGTAACACTCATGCAATAATCTTAGGTGAACTTTCACGAATTTTTTAATTACAAACGGGTTATATATATACATATATTAAAAAAGCCTGTCATTTAATGACAGCAATACGTATAACTAATTTCATGATTTATCTGATCTGTATGACTGATAAAAGATCTCAATCTCGCATATGTAACCATCTTTAGTGCTTTAAAAATGTTCCTTATAAAATTTTAGCATATAATCTGTTCCTACCTTGATTATTAGTCATAATTCTAACTCCAACCTAAAACAATTTATTTTCAAAATTTTTACCAATCAAAGAAGGATGCGTCATAATGCATCAACACAAAAATTTCTTGTTTTTTTTATCATTGGCGCAGAGATTGTATTCCGTCTGATAAATAACAGTGAATGAAGTTCCTTGTTTGCATAAGTCAAGGATTTTCAAGTAACATACGTATGTACCATGTGGAAACAAATATGTTACGGAGGAACAATTAAAATATAGTGTTAGATGTGATGACGCCCGTGCGTGTAACTTATCTTTCATCTTGTGACATCATTATGATCAACGATATAAAACTCCCCGTATCTATAAATTTAACCGCTAAATTAAGTGGCAGAAATATTTCATCTCTCTCTTTATAATGAAGAACCTTATTTTCATTTGGGCGTTTTTCGCAGTAGTTGCTTACGCAAATGTTATCGGTCGAAGAGAAATATTTGAATTTGATGAACAAATTTTAATAACTTTTCCATCAACGTTTGATTCTAAAACGATTGAAGATTGCGGAACTGGAAACCCTGAGTACATACTCCAATTGTCGCGTCTTGATATATCCCCGGACCCTCCGCAGAAAGGTCAAGAACTTAGAATTAGTGCCGAAGGATATTTATCTGAAACTGTTGAGAAAGGCGGTTATATTAACATAACAGTCAAGTTTGGCTTGATCAAACTTTTACAGCAAACACTTGACTTGTGTGAACAAGTTGAAAAAGTTGATAAGCAATGTCCTTTAGAAGAAGGTAGCCAAACCTTAGACCACACTGTTGTGTTACCAAAGGAAATCCCCCCGGTAATTATAAATATTATTTTTCTTAAAAAATTTATCATAAATTGAATGTGCTATATATATATATATATATTATATTTTTTTTCCTGCTTCTAGGGAAGATATACCGTCGATGCCCACGTGTTTACCAAAGATAACAAACCCATTGCTTGTTTTAAAGCTAAAACCTTCTTCAGACCATAATTATGTATTATGTCATAATTTCAATGCTGGATAATATGTTAGGATGTTTTTTTTTAATATAATAATAAATACTGCTTAGTTCGTTATCCAAATATTTGTAATCAATCATCGAGAAGCGTAAAAAGCTGAAACATTGACAAAATTTGTATATTCTTTGTTGCTTAATGTGCATAAGCTTATTATTATGAGTGATTATTATATTATTTTGATATCTTCATACTATTTTTTTTTTTTTTTTTTGTTTTAAACTGGGAGCATTATGAATTATCAAAGAAGGGATGATGAGTTGAAAACGAAGTCATAATCTTATATGACAATATAATACCAGAAAAGTGCTAGTTTTTGTTTATTATATGAGAGATCTAATTAAAAGTCTTATATTAGTTATAATTCTCTTAAAATTGATCAAACATAAATCTAACCTATCAAAACATAATTACTAAACGATTGCATAATAAGAACAACCAATATTCTTGACGAATCGGATAGAGACGGTTTATACCGATACTGCGCATTAAATTTCCTTTAATGTCCGTTTTCTACATTATCTATTAAAAGAATAAGAAAATACTTAATGTGACAAAAGCAAACTTCTCAATAACTACTTAGAATTTAGTAAACAAGCGATCTGAATCAACGAATTTTAATACTCCGAGATAGTTCTAAACTTTTTAATGTAGTGGTCGGAAAATGTCTGTCTCTTTATTTGCCATATATATCAATATAGTTTTTTGTACGTATCTCAGATTACGTAAATCCAATCATAAACTAGAATTGTCGAGCAAAAGTTAGCACGGGAGATGGTCATTATATCAACTCATTTATGCTATGGTGCGACATTGCAACGTGTCCGGTCCACGTCATCGGAGGTTGCGTAAGCACTCCTTGATTTGATATATTGGTTCCTTAACCTTCCTTATGTCTTTACGGTTCTGACCTGCACGACACTCGCGGTTAACTCCGTGTAAGTTCTTTTGTCTATATAAACTTCCCGCATATCATTTTGTAGGAAGAAAAAAAAATCTTTTGAAACACTTCAATCTAACGTTCAACAGCTTTCACAAATCTTTTTTAATAAAGTTTTATAATAGATTTTTAAAAAATGTCAGAAGGAAAAGGAAAGCTAGTGTATGTATACGCTTATTGAACTTAATGCTTTTTACTTCAACTTTGCTCACTTATTTACGTTTGATTCGTTATTCTTCCCTTCCTTTATTATACGGTTCTTTACCTGATCTTGCAACTGGTTATTTTACCTTATGAACTTTATCTTTTTACTTTAACTCCGGAATGCTTATTTTTCTTTTAAAGGGATAACTCATCCATCAACGCACCACACCCAGACCCAAATCATGATCCAGCCACTGCAATACTTCGTAAAAAGCCTGCACCTAACAAACTTATTGTTGACGATGCAACGAATGATGATAACTCTGTAATGTCTCTCTCTACAGCAACCATGGAAAAGTTACAACTTTTCCGTGGTGATACCGTATTGATCAAAGGAAAAAAGAGACGTGATACTGTATTAATTGTTTTGGCTGATGATACTTGTGAAGATACTAAAGTAAAAATTAATAAAGGTAACTAAATAACTTTCTTGATTCATTATCTTTCACCGAGTTTTCTTTAATTTAAAATTTAAAATCTTTATAACTTTGATTAGTCGTACGAAATAATCTTCGTGTACGTCTTGGTGATGTTGTATCGATTTTCCCCTGCACTGAGATCAAATATGGAAAACGTATTCATGTTCTGCCAATCGATGATACAATTGAAGGTGTAACAGGAAATTTGTTTGACGTATACCTAAAACCATATTTCTTGGAAGCATATCGACCTGTAAGGAAGGGTGATTTATTCTTAGTCAGAGGTGGTATGAGAGCTGTTGAATTTAAAGTTGTTGAAACTGATCCGCCAGACTATTGTATTGTGAGTAACTATTTTTCATACATATAAATCTTTTTCAATTCTTATAACCTTTCAAATTTTCTACTAAATTTTAGGTTGCACAAGATACTGAAATATATTGTGAGGGTGAACCAATTAAACGTGAAGATGAAGAAGCCAACCTTAATGATGTTGGTTACGACGATATTGGTGGATGCCGTAAACAAATGGCTCAAATTCGTGAACTTGTTGAACTTCCCCTTAGACATCCTCAACTATTCAAATCAATTGGTATCAAACCACCACGTGGTATTCTTATGTACGGCCCTCCCGGTACGGGAAAGACTCTTATAGCACGCGCTGTAGCTAATGAAACTGGAGCATTTTTCTTCTTGATTAATGGCCCTGAAATTATGTCAAAGATGGCCGGTGAATCTGAAAGTAATTTAAGAAAAGCATTTGAGGAAGCTGAAAAAAATAGTCCTGCTATCATTTTCATTGATGAAATTGATGCTATTGCTCCAAAACGTGAAAAGGTACCTTTTTTTTTCTCGAAACTTATTTTTTTTTGTAATATCTCATTAATATCACTAATATCCCATTCTCTTTACTTTTTTTTTTTAATTTAATATCTTTAGACTAATGGTGAAGTAGAACGTCGTGTTGTATCTCAACTTCTTACACTTATGGATGGCATGAAGGCACGATCAAATGTCGTAGTAATGGCTGCCACCAATCGTCCAAATAGTATAGATCCTGCTCTTCGGCGATTTGGTCGTTTCGATCGTGAAATTGATATTGGCATTCCAGATCCTACTGGTCGCTTGGAAATTTTACGCATCCATACAAAGAATATGAAGTTAGATGATGACGTAGATCTAGAACGAGTAAGTATATTCTATTAATTTGTATTTTTATATTCTTATACTAAATTATAATAATAATATCCTTCTTTGAAATAGATTGCATTCGAAACTCATGGTCATGTTGGTTCAGATTTAGCCTCTCTTTGTTCTGAAGCTGCAATGCAACAAATCCGTGAAAAGATGGATTTAATTGACTTGGAAGATGAGACAATTGACGCTGAAGTCTTGGATTCATTAGCTGTTACAATGGATAACTTTAGGGTAGATACATTTTTTTTTTGTATTAATAAATTTGTTATCTATGATATTTATCTATGATATTTATTTATAACACTTATTTTATTTATTAGTATGCTTTGGGTGTATCTAATCCATCTGCTCTACGAGAAACGGCCGTCGAGGTCCCAACGGTCACATGGAAAGATATTGGTGGACTCGAAAAGGTCAAACTAGAACTTCAAGAAACCGTACAATATCCTGTAGAGCATCCCGAAAAATTCATCAAATTCGGCATGTCTCCTTCAAAAGGTGTATTATTTTACGGTCCTCCAGGATGTGGTAAGACCTTATTAGCTAAAGCCATTGCTAATGAGTGTCAGGCCAATTTCATTAGCATTAAGGTGAATTAAATAAATATATATATATTAATTAATATTATTTCTGTATGACGTGATATTAAATATATATATACTTTTTTTTTTAGGGACCCGAATTATTGACTATGTGGTTTGGTGAATCTGAAGCGAATGTTCGAGATGTCTTCGATAAAGCACGTGCTGCTGCTCCATGTGTAATGTTCTTTGATGAATTGGATTCTATCGCAAAGGCTCGTGGATCCAATCTAGGAGATGGTGGTGGTGCTGGTGACCGTGTTCTTAATCAAATTCTTACTGAGATGGATGGTATGAACGCTAAAAAAAATGTATTCATTATTGGTGCTACAAATCGTCCAGATCAAATTGATCCAGCCCTGCTTCGTCCTGGTCGTCTTGACCAATTGATTTACATCCCTCTACCTGATGAAACATCGAGATTATCAATTTTGGAAGCTACATTGCGAAAATCACCTGTATCTGAAGAGGTTAAAAAAAAAATGAGATTCTTGGCTCAGAAAACAGAAGGATTCTCTGGTGCAGATTTGACAGAAATTTGTCAACGCGCATGTAAATTGGCGATTAGGGAAAGTATCGAAAAAGAATTAAAACGTAAACAAGAGAAGGGTGAAGAAGGTGAAGAAGGTGAAGGAGCTACAATGGACGAAGATGAAGAAGATCCAGTTCCGGAAATTACAATGTTTGTAGCCATTGCTTTTTTTTATTAAAAGAGAATGAAATGAGTTATATTTATTATGAACTTATTATATTTCTGTTTATTAGTGGACACTTTGAAGAAGCTATGAAATATGCTCGCCGTTCAGTTTCTGATAGCGATATTCGTAGATATGAAATATTTGCCCAAAATCTTCAACAGTCTCGTGGTTTTGGTTTGAACTTTAAATTCCCTGAAGAAACTGGTGCTCCTTCCACAGACATACAACACGGTGGAATTAGTGGAAGCGCAATGGACGTAACTAGTAGTGGATTCGGCCAGGATGGTGCTGATGATGATGATTTGTATGGTTAATCGTAATAAAAAAATCGATCTTATAATTCTTATAATAACAATAAGCTTTTGATTATTATAAAAAGTTGTTTTTTTTTGTATATTTATTGTGTCACACTTTCTTGTTTAATTTCAAAACGATTTACATAATGCTTATATTGGAGATTTAGGAATTGCAATATCGGTTAATAAAACATTAGACAAAGAGTCAGGAGGAGTTTATGGAGCTTTACCATATATAGCTCCTGAAGTTTTACAAGGAAAACCATTCACTCAAAAATCAGATATTTATTCTTTTGAATATCAAACATACTTTTTATAATACAATGTTTTAATTAAGATTTTTAATTAGCGCTATAAAACATAAACCGTAATAACGGTTTTATTGTTAAAAATCTGGAACTCCCGCTAGACTT